ATGAGGAAAATGAGGGTTATCGGAGCGATTGAGATTGATTTATTTGATGGATTTGGGCAAATTTTTATCTGGAATTTGATGAGTTTTTTATGGCTTTCTTCTCGGCGTCTCCTAGAGTTTAGCCTGTAGAATCGTTTGGAGAGAAGATGAAGTAAAGTGAGAAGTAGAGGAAATTAATAGTTGTTTGAGTAACGGAAACCCCTGATTTTCAGGCTTTAATTTTCATCTTTCCTTATTAAACATTAGGCAACTCGTTGGAGCTTGAAGTAGGATTGTTCTAGAATCAGTTATTACTTGTGATTCTTTCCATAATTAATTTAATTTAATTTCTTCATCATTGCTAAGAAATTTTACTTGCAAAAGAATATTGAGGGCCCCTGGATTTAAAGAGACCAATATTTTCATGACTAAGCCTAGGGATTTCAAGTAATTTATCAGAGTTTATGTGACTAAGCCTAGGGTTATTGGTTTAAGTAAAGGGAGGAAGATCTAACATATAAAACTTGGATCAATTGACTTTAACATAGAATTCTTCTAATTTCATTTACTTGTTTGGCTCATTGAATGCTATTGTTTTTGCCCACCTCGTTAATTTTATAAACTCATGGAAAATGCTCAGATTTTCTTTTGTTTTTGTTCTTTGGATAAAATCATTTACTCCTGTAATCTAAAGTACATTGCTGGTGTCTGCCTTTTCCCTTCAAAAGTTTGCCTGAGAAGTCTCCCCATTCAAATTAGAAATAGAAAGAGAAGGAATTTCTCTAAACTGCATGCACCATCCATATGCAGCTGGAGTACAATGTATGTTGAGCTGATGATTGGTTTGGCCTTTGTTAGGTTTGAAGCTCAATGTTCATCCATCTTATGAACCAACATTGTGAGTTGCTCGTGATTTTGCCCTCTCAATGGATAGGTGGTTTGTGAAATCGGTTTTCTAGGCATTTGTTATTTGGGTAGTTTTTAGTCAGTTTTGTAGTCCTTTCAAGTGTTTGTGGGTTCAGAGTGTTGTATTTTAAGTTTTGTTTTCCTTCGTTGTCGTTACTCATTTCTAATTTTTCATCTGTTCAATAAAACCTAGAAAGTGCTCTTGGCTTGTTTCTTAGCTTTTTGTTACAGCTCTTTGTCCAAACACTTCCCTAAACTTCAAGAGCCTTGTTGTCAATCTCCTTTCGGGTTTGGGTAAATTTCTTATCTTCCCCTCCTTTTTTGTCAAATTGATGAATTGTTTCTTACATGGCGACCCAGAACTGTGTTTTGGCTTTTCCGAGTGATCTCTGTCATCTGTTAACTTGCATATATAAATTTAAATTCAAGTATGAGTTATGTGGCTGATTTAAACTAGTCTTTTAGTTGATTTTAGCATATTTTTGTAAAGCAGTGTAATTTTGATTTCAATCTTAGTAGAGTTTGAAATATTATCAAGTCTTCATGTTCTGAAGTAAGCTCGTGATTACAAAGTTCTTAGTTGGTTGCAAATTGCAAGTTGTTCGAGTCGGTAGATGTGGCCATGGTGATGTAACAGTTTCTTGACTTGAGAGTGGGAGGTTATATCCTTTTTGTTGGTTACCCTAGTTTTTGTTGGCCACTTCAGTATTGTTTTTGTGACTAAAATAGTTGCAAAAGTAGTATTTTGACTTCTTCTGTTTAAAATCACAAAACTAACTTATATTGGTATGGTTAGAGCTGCTGTAACCGAAACGATAGTTTCTTAAAACTATCCTTTCGATCTGGGAAACTTGAAATATTAAATGTAGGCAGCAAGAACTTTAACTTGAATCGAAATGGGTCGATATGTTGTTTCTTATGTTGATTTTTGTTTCCAGGTCATGATATAGTAGCAATGTTTGATGTCGAGAGATCGGTTTCTTTGCTGGAAGACAATATCTTGCAGCTCGAGAATGACATTTTTGGAGAGTTCCTTATACCTTCTGCCAAAGTATATACTCTTTTTCATTCTCACAGATCGTGTATTCTATATACTTTATGTATTTTGATCTGATGCTCTTTTAAATCAGGTGGTAATACTATCTCTGGAATCCGTACCCAGATCGAACCGAACAAAAGTTGTGTTTGGCCTCGATCCAGATGCAGATGATTCAGAAATTCCATCAATGTCCGTAAGTTTGATCAGATCGATCCTTGCAACTCTAGTTACGAATCAGTCGTCCCTCCGAATAACTAAATCCTTGTTCGGGGAGGCCTTTTCGTTCGAAGTACTGAAATTCCCCGGAGGAATAACTATAATCCCGCCGCAGAGTGCATTTCTTTTGCAGAAAGTGCAAATTCTTTTCAACTTTACCTTGAACTTCTCTATTCATCAGATTCAAGTACATTTCAGTGAACTCACCAGCCAACTGGAGGCAGGATTACGACTAGCTCCATATGAGGTTTTGTGTTTCTCTGTCTCCTATTCGTTTTCTTTTTGTGCGTTTATTTGATCGTATGAACTTAGGTCCGTTAAGTAACATTGTTTGTTTTTCATTTTTGCATTTTGAAAACAAAATCATTATCAATCAAGACGTTAATTTATCACTCATTAGTTTACAATCTACCAAAATTTTTCGTGTTTTCTTGAGCTTGTTATTTTCTGAGTTTAAATGGAGTTCATGCTCAGATACGTGAAGTACTTTGCACTTGTATTGTAAAAATGAGCAAATGATTTGCTTCTTGAGTTTGATCTTTGACAGTGATGATAGGTTTTGTTCTGAATGCAGATTTTGTACATTAAACTGTGGAATGCGGAAGGTTCAACCGTGACTGCCCTGACGATTGTTCAGACATCTGTTCTTCTAGAAGTTGGAAATACTCCATCAATGCGGAGGCTGAAGCAGCTAGCTCAGACGATCTCGGGTTCTAATTCTAGCAACCTCGGCCTGAATAATACTGAGTTTGGAAAAGTGAAGCAAGTTCGCCTTTCGTCAATTCTTAAACACTCCCTCAATGGCAGTGATGGGAATGGCCCCGTGAGATCACCTTCTCCTGCTCCTACACCCCAGCCCCATAACTATCCTCACCTCCCGCCTCACCACCATCCCCATCATCACGCCCCTCTAACGCCTGCAATCTCACCTGCCCCTGCAACCGAGAAGGGTGCGCCGGGGTATGGTTCGCTTGCCCCCGAAAGAAGTGCAGCACCGCCTAAGAGAAGTTACAAAGCAAAGCCGCCTGGTTGCGAATATAGATACAAGAGGAAGTCTGGTAGGAAAGAAGGAAAGCAATCTCATTTGTCCCCGCTCGCTGCACCCAATATATCTCCCGTTCATTCTGCTGCATCGCCATCGCCACAACATCAAGTAAAACCACCAGCACCACCAGTCTCTCCAACTCCGACATCAGCTCCATTGCCAAACGTCATCTATTCTCACGTTCAACCACCATCAAAAAGCAACTCAAACCCTGAAAAACCCACGACGGATCCATCCCTCACGCCATCTCCATCTCCATCTCCATGTGAGTAACTAACTGACTCGACTGAATAGTTTTTAGCTACAAAAGTCTCATACATTTTTCCCCATTGTGTGAACCTTTTTCGACTGACTTGACTGATTTCGCAGCTGCTGCTGATCGCCGTGCGATCACTCAATGGGAATTCACACTGTTTCTTCTAATTCTCGCCCTCCAAATGTAGCATTAGAAAGAAGAAGACTACCCGTTTTCTGATGAACACGCATCGGCTCCAACGTCGTAGCCTGCTCGGGTTCGTATAAAAATGAAGTGCAGGAGTTTGTTTAAGGAGGAAAGCAAAGCAAAAAGAGGCATTGCTTGTTGTAAGATGGGTTTTCTAAGTGTGTAAATATCATCAATCTGATTAAGAAACTTTGTTGCAGATGCAGTTTCAGGTCAAAGTCCACAGAGGTGGCAGGCCTTCAGAAACTTGCATATTTTCCCACTGTTTTGTGTATTATCATCCTCTTCTCCATAAAATGTAAGGAGATGGAGGAAAAGAAAATTA